TTTGAGCTCTGTTGTCAGGTAGTCATGWTACCAGAGCCTGTCTGTATAATGTCTTGTGACGTCCACGGCCTACCCCAGTTACCACTACTGTGCATGTGTGTCAAGGACAGAAAGGCAGATGTGGTAGTGGAAGGTGTCAAAGCAGTTTGGCGAGAACAACAAAAAAAGAAAACGATTAATGGATTATTAAATTAGTCATAGATTATTTTAATAATCGATTAGTCATCTATTAATCGATTAATCGTGGCAGCCCTACCTGTCACACATAATTTCATCCATCCATCCATCCATCCATCCATCCATCCATCCATCCATCCATCCATCCATCCATCCATCCATCCATCCATCTTCTGTACACGCTTATTCCTTTCAGGGTCGCGTGGGCCACTGGTGCCCATATCCAGCAGTCATGGTGGACAAATCGCAAGTCCGTCACAGGGATACACATAGAAACAAACAAGACAAACAACCATTCACTCTCTCATACCCAGGGACAATTTGGAGTTATCAATTATCCTAACAGTCATGTTTTTGATCTGTGGGAGGAAGCTGGAGTAACCGGAGAGAACCCACACATGCACGGAGAGAACATGCAAACTCTACCCAGAGAGGTCCCTGGACTGGGATTTGAACCGGTGACCTTCTTGCTGAGAGGCATCAGCTCTACCAAATGAGCCATCATGCCGCCCCAGTCTAAAACTAATGTTCTCAAATAAAGATGGAGGTTCTCAGGAGGTTATATTCATAGATATATTTTAATGAAATATTAATTAAATAATTATATAATAGATATAAAATTAGGCAGTACAGTGGCACAGTTGGTAGAGCAACTATGTTTACACGTTCTCCCCATGTAGGAGTGGGTTTTCTACAGGTACTCTAGTTTTCTCTCACAGACAAATCATTTTTATTACAACTAATATGAATAAAAACGCAAATATCTTAATAGTTTGGAATAACACTACAGTAGATGTATTTTGTAACTGTGCATGTTTTGTCTTTATTTCCAGTTTTGGATTTTTATAATTACAGGTTTTCTTCACAAAAGTAAACATCAACAAGCAAATAAAACTTTTCAATTCAATTCAAATTCAATTCAAATTCAAAAATACTTTATTGATCCCAGAGGGAAATTAGGTAACATGCATAGAAGAGGTGATGCCTTTAAATTTTAAAAAGCTTGTTCCTTGTAAATGTCTTTAAAATATGTATTTTGATATTTTTAAATAAAATGACCATTTTGAAGGGAACTGTCCCCATCACATTTTAAATTAAATTAATTTGAACCTCCACATTTACCATAAAATATTACTTCACACAGTGTTTCTCTTGCTTAACAAATAAATATACTCCACTTATTCACATGAAGTGTTTTCTTATGTAGGTAAAAGTCTGTTGAACAACTTGTTAAAATACACCAGAATGCAGGAAATGGCATTTACTTCTTTCAAATTTTTCTGGGGGAGGACCCCCAGACCCCCCACCAGTGGGTCCCTCCAGCATTACAAATACCTCTGATGCCACTGAAATATGTAAGAATGTAAGGACAACTCATGGTACTCCATATGTAAAGATACAGAACAAATTTAGAAATAGACTGTTGCGGAAGTGCAGAGAGTTTGGATTCTTGTTTTTTGTCTCTGAGTGTCACAAAATCAGTTATGTTATCTGTAAAATTACAAATTAAACATCTGTAGGCAAAAACATAGCTTTATATTGCCATGTCATTTTTACAACCACATCATAAAATTTCTGTTATTTCTGGTATTGTGTTTTGGTGTGCGACCACTGTTTTTTCAGTGCCCCCACCCCCATGGCCCCCCTGAAAAAACTTTTGCAGGCACAGCGAGACAACACAAAATATACTAAGGCTTCCAACCCACCTAAAAAAAGGAGCTGCAGTACCACCTTAAAGAAGTTTTTTTTTATTAGTTAACGTGTAGTTATATTAAAAAAACCACAGCCTATACCATGACATATCCAATTATGTATTCATTGGTTAATTTTTCATTGGTTAAATGCATGTTACCCTCCTGTTCACTTGCAACTAAGTGGTTCAGATTTATRCTAAAAAACAAAACAAAAAAAAGGAACAACACAAATATGACTAGAACTGTTACTCAACAATATTGCATGCATGCATATGATTTGGAAATGAATTTGTGTTGAAATATGATAAGAAAATTAAGAGTTTCAATAATCTACCTTCATGCAGGGGAATGAGGGAGTTCAAAGTGCCAAAGATTTGTCCGAGCTCRCTCTCCGTCATTATGTCCAACTTCAACATGGGCTCATAGTACACCTGATGGCAAAGGGAAGGGAAATAAGTGTTTCAAAAYAAACTAAATGACTGCAAGAGACTCGATGCGTTCTATTCTGGTGATTAAGTACCTTCTTGACTAAATTGAGGTCTTCGATAAGTTGTTTCTCTCCCTGAGTGAGCTCATAGATCACCTGCACAGGAGTTCAACACGGTCAAGGCGGTTACTCAAACATTTTCAGGAAAACGAACAGTTCTCACACATGCACACGCACACACACACAGTTGCTCTGTAAGCTACAACACGCACAACAATTCTGCAGGGGCCAGCCTGCACAGCTGATTGTTCAATAAAGGAAGTTGAGCCTCTAGTGCCAGCTCACATCCTCTTTCACGATACTTGCGCAGAGCAGCTTCAGAGAAACACAGCCAGTCGTCCCACCCACATTTCAACCGCAGCCTCACACCTTCACCCACATAACCCCACCCATTTCTCAACAGRAAAAAAAAAAGAATATGTATAGCTTTAAAGATTTTAATAATATCTTAAAGTCTGTTTTCTGCACTGTCCATCACACCTCTTGTCGTTTGATTTCCTTGGCGGTGAGGTCGTGACTCTCCACCGTGTCGCTCCAGCACTGGCTGTTGCGCCTACGTGGGAAAGACGAGGCCTTGCCGCGGCTGCGCAGGGGAGCAGGGGGCAAAGGTCGAGCGTCTGTGCGAAAGCTTATAGATCGCTGTGAAAAGAGAGGGGGAGTGGTTAAAAGGGTGCAAAGACGAAGGACATTCTATTTGCCACTTTGTACCATGGAGGAAAACTGTGTACCGAAATAGACTGCCCGATGCGTTTCAGGGCAGGGGTCTTCACTGGGGTTATGACCCCCGTTAGGCTGTTAGACTTTGATACAGGCTTGACTCTTTTGTTACTGGGCTCCTAAAAACAACAACAATAACAACAAAAATGTCAACAGTGAAACTGAAAAATCAAGTTGCCCCACAAGAGATGCTGAACAAAACACCTGACCTCTGAATCCTTCATGTGTGCAGGCATGTTTTCACCCTCCTCTTCTTCCTCTTCATCCTGGACAGAAACAATTATAGGTCAACTTGAGATGAAGGAATTTTGGGGGAGAGGGGGGGAAAATGAGAGTGAGAGAGAAATGTTGAGATGGGGTGAGGGATGTTGCATGGTGCAGATCTCTCATTTCCTGTGTGAGTGTTTCAAAGAGGAAGAAGGTTGAAACTGTGCCTCAGCTAAATACAAGATGTCGGCCTGTTTTTTTCTTAACCTCTACTTACATCTGCAAGTTTTGTGTCAATAAAGATGGCATGAACTGTTATCAGTAAAAATGCAGCAAAATGTGGAAAGCAGATGAAAAAAAATAAGAAACATCCCAGCAGCTATAGAATACATGAAACCATAATGTTCACAATGTTCTGCAGTCAGCATCGTGGTCACAAAGGTAAGGTTGACTAACTTCCGCTACTTACTGAAAAAAGCAGCAGATATGATTGTGGTGCATTTCAGATTATTACTCACCTCTATGATTCTTATCACAGGTTCAGAAGTCGAGTCTTGTTTTCTCTTCTTCTAAGAGCAGGAATTTATTTAAAAGTTAATTTCTTGGATTGTTATTTAATTAAATGTCTCAAATAATTAATCCAAGTAGCTTACCCCAGCATGATCACAGATGACAGAGTGTGTCTCCCCCAACCTGTGAACAATTTTAAGTACAAAATATTCACAATTATACATTTTGAGAACAATCTGAGTTAGTGCGACACAAAAGATAGCTTTGTGCTCTATCAAATTGCAATTTTTTCCCGTGTTCAGATTAATTTGACATTAAAATAATTTCACACTTAAGTCAGATGCATTCAAACTTAAAAGTACCCATGCCTTCTTTCAATTGTCCCCATTCTCATCAATTAACCTGTTCAGTCAACAAAGCGTAATAAAAAAACAAACACAAGCCATCATACCAGGAACTCTTTGTTTCACCAGCCTCCTCCACTTCCATCTTTTGCACCCCCTTTTTCTCTTCAATGCATCTTCACAAAATCAGAAGTCAAGATTCCCAAACAGAGAATTAATCCAAATTTGAGACGGGCTTTTTAAATGTTCTCGGCGCAGGCAGTGAGCGCTTTGCATTGAGCCTTTTTAGAAGTTCAGAGCTCTTCTTCCTCCTCACTCTCTTCCTCATCTCACAGCAGACCACATCCTTTACGGTTGCACATAATCACGTATCCGCTCTTCTAAAGGAGGAGTGTTTTAAAACTCGATGCAGAGGCGCTCTAAACCCTGTCATTTGGATTTTCTAAGCTTTAAGATAAACAGTTGCGGGATGAAATAAATACTTAACAGTAGTGACATATGAGGAAGTGAAATTGACAGCGCCAGTTCAATCTTTGAAATGTCCCTTTTCACAATTTGCTATGAGCACATTTCAGTTATTAAGGCAAATATCTGTTTATTAATAAAAGTGCAATGTGATAAGGGATTTTCCACTGAACAAGGAGGTTAAGGTTTAGCTGATAGAGGCTGAACTTCCCGGATGTGCTCTGTAATGAAAGCTTCATCAGCCTAAAGCAGGTCAAATAGGAAAAACACATCTGTGGCACCATCAAGTCTTTTCATGTTCATTTACAAACACACTGCAAAGAAATAAAATGAAATAACCACACACAGTCTGMATCTTTTACATGTTTATTAGCTATCACACTAAGTGCTCCCATTTCAAGATACATCCTTGTTGCCTTGCTCTTACGTTGTTATGTCATTTGAAGTTAAAGTACAAAGACGATTTATGATCTAGCATGTGTGCCAAACTGGTTTGAGCCTCCCCACCAAAAATAAAATAAAATAGCATATAACAAAAAGACAAAATAAAAAGAGAATAAAGAACAAAAACGTCATGTGCAAGAACCCCCCTCGATGGCCACGGAACGCTGCAATGAGAGTGTAGGGGTGCCTTAAAATGGGATGGGTATCTGACAGTGATATATTTGGATTTGCAGTCAGGGGAAGGGTGTTGAAATGAGCTTTAACAGAGTCTTCTGAGCTAAACTGGTTTAATGAATGTGGTACATCTTTGAAAGAAGAAAAAAAAAAAAAACTCAAAAGTCGTGTGGAACTAGGTCAACAAGGGTTGAAGGAGTGAAGGGAGCACATTGAGTGGATGTCAGGTGCTGAGCTGGATTAAACAAACCCACTGTTTACTGATAAAGAGGATTTTAACTTTACACAGGGACTTCTTTTGGGTTTTGGAATACCAAAAGAAAACACTCAGGCTTGATTTAAGTACAGATACTCTACAAGTGAGAAACATCAGAATTTCCAGAATACATGCTCCTTTCCTCCGGCAACACCCTTGTTCCCACAACCAAGCATCAACCCTTGGACACATACAGGTATCCTTTAGTCAGCTTACTGGGGCTATGTACATCAGGCACAGGTTTACACAAAACCACAGGCCTAAAGAATAAAATAAAATAAAATAAAAACTAACAAAAACAAAAGAAGAAACTGATTGATCCAGTAGAGCCCAGTTAAAACCCACTTAAAAAACACCCCTTTCCCTTGCCTCCCACCCTGCCGTGGGTGGGCTCAGTGTGGAGCTCAGCGGATGGTGTATCTGACATAGGGCACTTCAACATCTTCGTCTGACAAGTCGTTACAGCAAAGCTCAAACACCAGGGCTTTCACATGTTTGCCCAGTTTCTTTTTGGACACCTTTGTCACAATCTCTGTCATCCTGCAGAACAAAGAGAAACACGACTGAGACGATGAAAAGAAAACAACTTGTGTAAAAAGGTGCAGCAGAGATATGTACTCACGGTAGGTCCAGTCTCTCCTTGAGTTTGGTACCAGGCATGAAAAATGAATAAAGCATGGACACTCCCTGAGAAAGCATGGTGATCTCCAACTTGTGCTCATTCTGAAAAACAGAAACCATGTTGGACAGCTGAATGGCAAACAGTGTATGTGCTAGTGAAAACATAACATACTTTGAAGTAGTCCAGGAACTGTCGGAGTGTCATTTCGTCTCCATTGGACTGCAGCCCTGTGACCTCAAAGCGATCCCAAAGTGTCCAATCAATTTCATAGTACTGCAAATTGATAATAAATAAATAAAGTTATCAATAACAGCAATAAGACAAATCAAATACAGCTCAGTTATATTTTCACTGCCTTGGTCTAAAATACAATAAGACCAGCTCTATCAAAACACACATGTTATATTTCTCCTCAGCGCACACTGATACATCAGTATGAGAAGGTGAGTTGAACTCACTTGCACCCAGGCAGATCAAGTGCATCTGCCTAATGCATCGGTATTAGCATGGCTGGGTCATCACTGGAGCTTGCCAACATGTTGAAATTTAATCAACACTGTATCATGTTATAAACAGACCTAAAATAGAGCACAAATGTATTCACCTTGTGTTTAGGAGCAGCTATGGGCTCAGAGAAAGCGAAGAAAGGCAGGGCCAAGTTCATGAAGCCATTTTTGTACGATTCCAGCTTCTTGTGTCCTTGGACAATCTTGATGAGCTCCAAGCACACCAGGCCAACCACTGCAGCTGTAGTAGTGGCAATAGCAGGAATGATCTTGCCTGCAATCAATTTGCTCTAGATTGTAAAGAGACAAATGCAAACATTTATACACCAGCGGGTGTATTCAGAGAACACACCTATCATAGAAACAAGTTTTATATTAAAATTAATAAGTAAATTAGAGTTAGAGGGATGAGGAGGTCATTTAAAAACAGAAAATGTAGGGACTAGAGCCAAAGTTGCCCACCTTGTGTCGGTCAGCAGGTGGAATGTCGTAGTTTTCTGCTCTCAGATTGGAGGCTGCCACGATGAAGTCCATGTGGAAGTTTGTATCATCATCCTGTTTAAACACAATAACCACACAATTCATTATTGGCTCAAGTTAAATAAAGATTGGTGTTGATGCTAGTTTGGCACCTGGAGTGTTTGAGCAGTACTTCATCAGCTGTATTTTAATTATTTTTACATATTTATTGTGTTAATCTGCACAAAGCACGTTTTTTTTCTATGAAAATGTTGAAAAGCAATGTAATTTTAAGTCTACTTTTTTATGTATTGATAATATATAAATATTTGCGTATCTTAACYGTTATATGACTTACAATCAACCACTTTTAAATGCTCAAAAAACAAAAACGCCCCATACAAAACAGTAAAGTCAAAACCACGTTTGATTTTTTCAACCACACACTGAGTACTAAGGAGTAAATGCTCAAAGTTAACTTCTTCATAACCTCATCTAGGGTCTGTGTTCTAATAGCATATATTTTACCCTCATTAATTTTCTTATAAACCTATGAGGGACAGAAGCGTTATGACACTAAGGTTTTAAAGCCTACAGCAGTATGCCTATCTTACAACTAAAGGACAACCAATTCTAACTCAAAGTTGCCCCAGGCCAAAACACAAAAATAAGAGTACCTTTTCAAAATCAATGGGGCTGAGTTTGTACTGGAAAGATTCTACTGATGGTAACTGGGACTTCAGTTCTTCCAGTTTGGAGTCATCTGTCAAACAAAAGGGGCATGATTACTTCCAAAGCCTTCAAATAATATTTGAGGTAACTTCTTAAGACAGTGACTTTAACTGCACATAGATGTAGATATGCATTTCTTACCAACAGAAGAATTGCTATTTTGTAGCTCTTGATCAGAGACATGGATTTTTACCCCTGAGCGAGGAATAAAAGTTGGCACCTTGACCTCCTGCAAAATCTTGATCACACCAGCACGATCAGTGCTGCCTGGCAGACCATATGTCTGAGCAAACAGGTTGGCACCTGCCACTACATAATCCATGTGAAGGTCCTGAAGACAAAAATCATCAATACATTTATGTTGGAAAATACCTGAAACCATATATCCACATATCACAGAAAGCATAGGTACTGAAAGACAGAGAAAACACACTTACGTTGCTAGTGCTGAACTCTAAAGGATGAGGACACCTCTTTGGGCCAGACCAGAAGGGGGCGCCTGAGCTGGTAAGCTGAAAGGAGACAAAAGCCTCAACTGCTGTKTGGTAACAACTAAGATGAATTCAGATGAATTTTTGCTGTTCTACAAATTTATAGATTTGAGAGTGAGAGAAAGAAGAACAAAAAAGCTAAATTGGTACGAGGAAAAAACTAAATTAATAAAAACAGTGCTCCACATTTATTTTCGGGCACTTGCTTTATAGGCCGAAGAGTTGGTCCGAAAATTCCAGAACTGTGATGAATGATGACGTTATAAAGAATACTTTCTCTGTAGTCCTACTGTACACTCCACAAGTAAGGATGATGGGGGAAATGCTCTAGTTTGAGGTATTCCATAAAGTACTGCATTGAAGCAACAGTAGAAACTTCAGTGAAAGCGTCAGTGTTTATGTAAAACCAATTTCCAAGTTAGACAAGTATAAAAAGTAACTTGTGACCCCAGAAACGTGTACAATAGGTTGCCTTCAGGCCCAGGCCACCCTTGAAAAAGAGATCTGTGATCTAAATGGGATTTGCCTGRTTAAATAAAAGGTAAAACAAATAAACCTATAAACATTTTCAACATGCATTAGTGGTTTGAGTTGTTCGTTTCTTTGAGTGATTATTTTCCCCTCATTCAACAATTTTTACATAAAAAAGCAAAGCAAGGCATACATTAGAGCAGAAATAAGCTGAATTTGACAATCTGCATTTTCACAATTTGACTGGCTTCCAATTAAGGCTCCTATCCATAAAATTATTTTTATGTGCTGTAGTATTATGAAGTAATCTCAGTATTTACCTGATTTGGGGGGAAGTTGTGCAATAGTTGACGGATGTTGTTGCTGTATTGGCACTGCCAGTGGTTGCGAGCCCAGGCTACACAGTCAGCCCAGCTGTGTGGACAGTCTGTCACCATCGTCTTGTACACAGCCTCCAGCACCTCTACAGGCTGGGCTCCAGGAAGCTTCAGAGTACGCTCCATGAATTTAGGATCTCTGCAAAATCAGGAGTCAAAGACCAAATGCTGTTTACATAATGAAAACATTTGTGAATCTCTGCTCATCCAAATATGGTTTATCATGAAGAGAAAAATAAAATAAATATATATTAGAGAAAGTAACTTACGTGAGGTACTGCATGGCGTTTTCTGGAGACTGTTTGAAGAGTCCCTCAAACTCATCTCGAGCCCACTGATCAGAGAAATACATTGTTTCATCAGCAATAAACTCAATTTAGTAAAGAAAACTTCCAACAGGTTTTTGGTATCAACTGAAAAATACACTCTGGTGAGTCCAAAAATAGTTTTTTTTAATGTATGGAAAAACAAATTGTCAGTCTGGTTCGCATTGCCGGCAGTAAGTCGGGCTCGTTTCCGGTGAGAGTTGGACTCCGCCAAGGCTGCCCTTTGTCACTGATTCTCTTCATTACTTTCATGGACAGAATTTCTAGGCGCGGCCGAGGTGTTGAGGGGATCCGTTTTGGTGGCCTTAGGATAGCATCTCTGCTTTTTGCGGATGATGTGGTCCTGTTGGCTTCATCGGCAGCTCTCGCTGGAGCGGTTCGCGGCCGAGTGCGAAGCGGCCGGGATGAGGCTCAGTGCCTCCAAATCCGAGGCCATGGTCTTGAGCCGGAAAAGGGCAGAGTGCCTTCTCCGGGTCAGGGGGGTCGCCCTGTCTCAAGTGGAGGAGTTTAAGTATCTGGGGATCTTGTTCACGAATGGGGGAAGAACGGAGCGGGAGATCGACAGGCGGATTGGCGCAGCGTCTGCTGTAAAGCGGGCGCTGTACTGGTCCGTCGTGGTGAAGAGAGAGCTGAGTCAGAAAGCGAAGCTCTCGATTTACCGGTCGATCTACGTTCCTACCCTCATCTATGGTCATGAGCTTTGGGTCATGACCGAAAGAACGAGGTCCCGGATACAAGCGGCCGAAATGGGTTTCCTCCGCAGGGTGGCTGGGCTCTCCCTTAGAGATAGGGTGAGAAGCTCGGTCATCCGGGAGGGACTCCGAGTAGAGCCGCTGCTCCTCCACGTCGAGAGGAGCCAGTTGAGGTGGCTCGGGCATCTGGTAAGGATGCCTCCTGGACGCCTCCCTGGTGAGGTATTCCGGGCACATCCCACCGGGAGGAGGCCCCGAGGAAGACCCAGGACACGCTGGAGGGACTATGTCTCTCGGCTGGCCTGGGAATGCCTTGGAGTTCCCCGGAGGAGCTGGAAGAAGTGGCTGGGGAGAGGGAGGTCTGGGCCTCCCTTCTGAAGCTGCTGCCCCCGCAACCCGACCCCGGATAGGCGGAAGAAAATGGATGGATGGATGGATGGATGGATGGAAAAACAAATTCTCAAACAAAATGCCAGTATCGAAAGAAAAAGTTACAAAAAAAACAAAAACAAACAAACAAACAAAAAAAACCCACAGGTAACATGGTATACAACATACTGAAGATTGTCACCTGCTCTGTACATATAGCAAACACTTCAATTGCAGAAGGCAGAAATTTCTCCTAGATTAAGGTTATTCAGGTTTAACGTCTAAATATTCTGTTACATGTCTAAATTCCCTGCTTTTAAACAAACATGTTTACTGTACTCAACTCAAAAACAGCTGTTCTTTCCAAGATGTATATTACTCTATGGCTTCTACTGACCTGCAGTGTGTGTTCAATCGCATTTGGGAAGTTCTTCAAAGTACAGATGGGGATAGACTTCTCAGGGGGGTCTTGGCTGGAGCTGTAAGACTCTGTGAGGAAGGGGATCACAACCTGGACATTGCCTTTGGTCCCCAAAGTGCCTGACTCCAGCAAGGGCTTGCGGTAGTATACACACCTCCGATCCATGTACATACCTAAAAGGTCAGGAACACAAAGCCATGGATTTTTTTTAATAGCCATGGATTTGTACAAATAAGTTAAGACAGAATAATGTATATGCAAAACATAACCACACTACACTGAAATCCACTCAGTGCATTCTCCCCTCATTTAATGCAAGCATCACTGTCTTACGTGCATCAACATTGTCCAGTGCATTGGCGACTCCATCCAGACTCTCAAAGAAGTCATCATCATAGACCCTCTCTGTGTCTGGGCCTACTCTGTTCTGATGACCTGTGATCGTGATTGAAGGGTTCATCTGCTTCACTGCAGCAGCAGCCGTGTCACTCTTCATTTTCTGTTGCCACACACAAATGTTGGTTTTAGGATAATTAGGTTTAAGCACAAAAACATAAAAACCATTTTAAAACATACATAGAACAGGGAATGGTTAATTTCACCAATTAGTGACAGAAAAATCTAAAATCAGTATTTAATTTGGGGGTCCATCAAAACATTTCCACAATGATAGTCATGATGGATACACATTTGCTTGTATTTCTCAGTACTGACAGTACCATTAATCCTGACCAAATACTCGACTCCATTTGCAGAGATCAGCCCCAGACTTGTAGGAAACCTCCACCATTTTTCACTCTTTCCTTCACACTTTTATTATTATACCCCTCACCACATATTGCGGTGCATGACTGCTCCTCGTCTGAATAAATGAAAACTATGTAACGCAGTTCTTTACACTTAAATTAAAAATATTTGACCAAAGGAAAACCAGAGCAGGACTAGAGAGAGACAGTGTTTCCCCTACCATTATACAGGYGAGGATCATGAGGAGTCTTTAACTAGGATGTAGTTAGGCAATTAAATATTCATGTATGTGTAAATTTATTACCATAATTGCAGGTGAGTCGCTTAAATTTATGCTTTTATAAAACAAGTGGGTCCCGACCCCAACTTTGGGAACCATTGCTATAAACCTTGCAGGATAGTTGCCTTAGAGGACCATGATTAGACACCCCTGATGGTTGGTCTTGATTTCACATTGAAAGTTTTAACCACAATTCTTCTGTGAAGATCACTTGTAGCAAGATTTCTCCAGAGTGGGCATATCTGAGCCCACAGGTTTCTGCCATTTCTGAACTGATGGCTTTACTGGACATCATCTGATTTCAAGATGAGGATGGGATGGTGTGTTTATTTTATTTATTTATTTATTTAAACACACCAATATCCTTTGATCAATCAATTCAGAAATGCAGCCCCAAAGTTACAACACAAGGTCTTTCTTTGTACTTAGTCAAAACAACTTGAACAATACACACTAAAACCCTGGTATGCTTTGAGGTTTTTGCCTAGGAACGACCTTCCTGATGTAGACCAACTACTTCTTGCTTTGTTGCTGTGCTCTGACTAATCATTTGACATGRAACCATTGTACACAACTTCACCTTAATAGAACTATCCTTAGATTATAGTCTAGTGATGAAATTTCAAGTAAAAGTAATCTTTAATTTGATGGTTAATTAGTATCTGAATGCCGTCGATCTATTTTTGGCAGTAAGTTGGCTTGTAAATGGGCAGAGCTTACACACAATGAAACTGAACACTTGTTTTGAATGTGTGTACAGATCCAAGTTGTTCATCTAGTTTGTTGATAGCAGGAATCTGTTCTTTCCTCCTGCATTTGATCTAATGTGCAAAGATGTGTATACTGACCGTGACATCAGAGGGTCTGAAGAGGAACTGTCTGTTGAGATTGGATTTTTCTATGGTGTCCATGTCAGTCACAATCACTTCACCATTCCCACCAGCCAATCCCATCATGGCAAAGTTTTTCAACAGCTCACAGCCAATGGCACCAGCTCCCACCTAAAAAATAGATAAATTGAGTTGTGAGCAGACACAAGCTACATTTTTTTAAATAGATTTTCTGTAGAAAATATCAGAAAAACAGTGGATGACATTCTAGTTTTGCTACTGCCAACACATTCCACATTTCCTCCCTCAGTGATTTAACAAACTGATAACATTAAAACTAGCGCAAAGGAGAAACTGTCTCAAGTTTGTTTAAATTTGAACTAGTGTGGGTAGCCTCTATAGCACATGGGGGAGAGGGTGTATCAAGATTGCAGAACAGTATTCGTCAGATTTCAAAACATAAGGTAAAACATTTCTTTTAAAGAAAAACAAAAAATGACCCGACACTGAAGCAGAACAACCCCCTTGAGTTTAAAACCCATTAACTGACTCACCAGGAAGTAACGCTGGTTAGCAAGAACATCCTGTAGCTTTGTGCCAAACACTGCAATCTGACCATCATACCGACAGCTCCTCTAGAAGAGGCACAAAGTGACATTTTTAAAAATAATAAGTTTCACAACCAGCTTGGTCACAATAATGCAGATCAATCTTCAGTAAAAATGTTCCTCTGAACACTTACAGGTTTGCACTCTGTCTCTGTGAGCAGGTCTCCATCTTCAGGCAGGCACTCCAGAGCATCAAAGTACAGCCACTGCATTACAGGCATAAATTTTCCAGTGGAGGCCTAAAAATAGAATCATTTGCAACAATGATATACATTGAAACATGATAAGCGAGTACATGTCTAAACATGAATTATTGCTGAAAACAGTAAAACTGCTCCAGGTTCTTCTACCGATCAAACTTCTAAACAAATATGAATTTTAAATTGATATTATTTTGAACTGTTGTGCTGCTTTTCACCAACCTTCATCACTTCTTGTGCAGCCACACCCCCAATGAAGGCATTTACAGGGGACAGATCACCAGCAGCAACATACGACATCTTTTTGATAACAGCTTCGTCCAGCTGCTCCACTTTGGCAGATCCTGTCTGAGCAGAGTTCACCTCCTTGGCCAAAGTCAAAAGCTCATCACCATCAGCCTGGAAAACACAGAGCTCAGCATTTTAACAACTGTACAAAAAAATTGCTGAGCTGCACTGCTATGCTTTGGGACATTTACAAGTAATTCTGCAGGGATTTCAGTTTCAGCTTATTTATTAGAGGCTCCTGAACAACAAAATGAGCCAGTTCAGTCAAATTAAGTTGGAACTCATCTAGAATCATAAAAAAGGGTCAAGATAACAGAAGATACTGTCATAACAAATACCTGGTTCCAAGGTACAGGAAGGCGGTTATGTTTCTTCTGGAAGGCGTGGATAGCCTGGAAGCCTATGTGCAACTGCCCTGGACGATCGAACTTGGCAAAATCTGTCATTATGAACTCTGGCTCAGCCATTGAAGAGCAGATAGATTTCTGCAAGACAAAGCATCCATAGTCATGAGGATGAACTCAAAGTTTAAATTTTCCTCTGGTGAAGCAGTGGTTACAGAACTCTTACAATGTTTAGTTGATTTTATAAAACCAACAGGCTACAGTAAACTATACATTTTTTATTTAACTTTGCTTTATTTCACATCAAAGTATGTTATGACTTAAATGTCAGCTACTTACAAAACTGATCTTCTTTGGCATCTTAACTTGGGAGACTATACCTCCTCTTACATAGTCTGAAAAGCCAGTTGTATCACAGATACTGAAGGTGTACGGACCTAGGAAGAGAAAGCAAAAAATTAAGCCAACCAATAAAAGTTCAGTGGCAAATAAAAAAAATAAATAAAAGAAACAAAAACACTTTACCTAGAACTTTAATTTCCACTGGCTGACAGCCATTGAGCTCTGTCATACCCTGAACTTCAGTGAAAGTGACATGGTCTCCGTTCTCAAACCCATGACGAGCCTCATCAAGACATGTAACAACACCTGGGTTGTCCTGAAAACAAAGTTGTTTCCTGTCAAAATCAATGTTTTTTTAGCCCATGACTTTTTTTTTTAATTCTCCAAACATGACTCTTCAACATGCTAACCTTTGTGATCATTGAAATCATAGCACTCAATGGCTGCTCTCCATTGGTGTCATATACAATCATGTCTTCTCCAAAGTCACAGAAAAGTTGACTACAAAAAGAACAAAATGTACAAAAAAGTAAGGTTTTGACATTAAATTGACAGGTGGACTTGAAATAAATACTCCTAGAAGAATGTAAATCTTACCCAAACAAACCACGTGTGTCAGCAACAATCAGCTTGATTCCTTTGTTGTGGCAAAACTCGCCCAAATGTTTCTGCTCTTCTATAGGTGAGTTTGTCAGTACAACCACCTTGGTAAAAAAAAGTTAATAAATAAAAATAAAATTTAGATTAAAAACTACTCCTTTTTCATTCGAAGATAAATGATAAAAGGGGCTGTATTTTTTGTATATTTTACTTTTTAAGTTTACCTGAAACTTGGTAAGGTAGTCTTCAGTAAGAGCTCCAGTATACGCAGTCACAGGAACATAGTTGTTGAGCTCAGCCAAACGAGGCTGACTCACTTCAGCTCTATTCTTGTCCAGGTCCTCCTCTCGAAGGTAAAACTGACCACAAAACAATACCCAAGGTGTCAGACAAGATATTACAGACAAGAATCAACCCAGTTAAAAAGCATTGTAGTAAGGATAAAACAGCTTTAGACAAATTGAGGGTAAAACCATTTATATTTATTTCATGCTAGCATAAGTTATTGGACTATATACACTAGGTTTTTCTCCAAATTTAACAGTTTGTGCATTTGGATACAAATTGAACTCTAACCACAAGGAGTAAAAATGAGAATGTATTACTTTAACTAGAAAACCTGGCTATACTGCAAAAATTTATGTTGGGGGAAGAAAAACAGCTGCTCTACTGCAGCTCCAAGGTTCTTTCACCAAAGCACAAAATTAAACAACAGCAGACAACTGTGTAGTAGCAGGCACAGCATAAGCACTTTATATATAAAGATATCATACAAATAAATTAAATTACTTAAAATTTTAAACTGAAAACAGCAAATCTTGGATTATTTTTCTTCAGAACAATTCCACTCAAATGCACTAAACCAGATCCAGTTTTAAAATGACTTCATAAAATGTTTAAAAAAGGATGTAAAYTGGGGTTTTCATTTTTTAGCCAACTATAGAAAAAGCTGAAAAATCACTGGTTGTTTAAAGGTCATGGTCAATTATTTTAAAAAGGCACGAACAGTTCAATTTATTTTGAATACAGAATCATGCTGGAGCAGTGCCCACAATTTGCCTGAATGAGAAACATTTGAAAGCACAAGGTCACTGTCAAAGACATGTCCAATAAGATTTAAATTAATACCTGCAGATTCTATTCACATGTTCTGCTGCCTGGTCTTAACAGAACTCTGATAAGGTTCCAAGCTGACGGACCAATACACCCTACCCAGCTGCAAATATGTCCTTTCAGAGGTTTCAGCTGTACTGATTATCATGAAAAGGCCATGTACTGATAAATCTGGGTCAGCCAATGGCTTTGTAGAGTGGGGGTTGATGTTACTTCCTATTTAAAAAGGCAACAATACATGTGACTTTTTAAAAGGTACAACCTCTTCATAAAAAACACAAACAAATTAAAGCTAAAATCTGAGTTAGCCAGAAATAACTGACTTAAAAAAAAGTATTGTACTAAAAAAGTACAGACACATTGTACTAAGAAAACATTGTCCAAATACCTGAGAAGAGAGGTCTCTCCATTCTGCAACTCCTTGGTCATGCACAGTGACGCTTCTAACTCCGCCCAGGATGACATTCTTGGCAATCTCAACTCCTAGACCTCTCATGCCAGAAATAAGGACATTGGCGTTCTGCATGCGCTTCATTGCGTCATGGCCCAATACATAACTGTAGGAAAGGGAAAGAAAAAAAAAAAACCCATAAGAGCTACAATACAACATCAGAAACCAGCAAACACAGATGTGTAAATCTGTTAAGACATCTTACAGTTGTCTGGAGTACAGGCCCTCATCAATCTCAGCATCATTGCCATTCTTAGCCATGCCCTGAGGAGAGACGGCGAGTGGTGCAATTAGTTTATGTGACAAGTTCTATCTAGTGTGGACAGTCGTTTGCACTTACGTTTGCAGGTGTGTGGGATAGATCAGTTCTGACAGAGTTAGAGGAGGAGCAGTGGGATCCCGTCTTCGTCTCTGTTCCTGACAAGCGACGCTTCTTGGACAGCGGCGAGCTGGACATCTGTGAAATAAAAWWAAAAAAAATTTAATTATCAAATCCAGTGCCAATCATTCAATACAGACCATTTGCTCTAATTAACTTCTGCAGTTTCTCACAGCTAGGAATAATTTGGCACAACTACAGTAGTGTAAAGCAGATATGCTTGTGTTTAAATATTTTTAGATTGCAATAAAATCAAACCAATAAACAAATCCTGTTTATAAATCAATACTGTGGTTCCATTATGTACGTCTAAGCTGAAGGGAGGAAATTTAGTCTAGAGAGCAGCTGGGCAGGCTGTAGGCCAAACGCCAATCTGCTAGAAAAACCAACCCAGGCTGACAGGAGGCATGAATGGCAGCATTATGTGTCCTTTTCATACCCTCTAACAACACCCGTTTATGTGCTCCTATTGTTTATCATATGGCTATTTACAGACTGCTATAACAAAAACAGCTGAATCATTAAAAGTTCACTGCGGTAAAAAAAAAAAAAAAATCTCTGGTGTGAACACTAGTCTCATTCTGTGCTGCAATATTTGTTAGAACTACATTGAGACAGACTTAACTGTGAATACGTTTTAAAATATAGAAATTATAGATTGTGATTACTAAAATAATTAGGGTAAACCAGCTAAATACCGAGTTAAAAGGCCGCAGTATCCCAAATCGCATGCACCCTGAGCCTGTAACACATCCAGCTACAATTTCCGCATCAAAATTGTAGCACAAACTTACCATCGTCTTTGAACATTTTTTTTAAACAAACAGATCGTGAAATTTCAGATCGACAAAACATTTGAGGTAAAACATTCCAATTAGAACCAGCTGGGGAAAATTTTATATGGAAAAAGAAAGCATCCGGCATGATACAGCAAAGCCACCCGGTTGTCACCGTAGTTTCAAAACCTCATACACCTAGCAGCTAGCAATCAATTTAAAGCTTTGATAAATTAGCATCGACTGTGGCACAAACAGCACCAAAAGAAAACAGATTAGTGGCTCGTGTCGTGACTAATCATTTAAGTGGTTTTGGCAGATGGACAGACGAACATTAATAAGTTAAAGGCAAGAAAACACCAGCCTGCCAGCCCATCCATTAGCAGCTCGGTCTGGGCCTAGCCCACAGTGCGGAACACAACTTTACAAGCTAGCAGCTGTGGCTATTTAACACAACCTTCGAAAATGAAAGCGATCTGACAGCCAACTAACGCAGCACCAACACGAACATGACCACATCTTTACAAGAACATTCCATTTTACTTAATCAATTACTTAAATAAATGATGCGAATAAAAGACAGCCCACTACACTCGTGCTTCATTGATTTCGGTGTTCTTACCAATAATCCTTCCCGGTGCCTTCCCTAAGCGAACCCGCTCCTCTCCCGCAGTGTGTGAACCTTATTAACACCGTTGACGACTAATTCGACGATTCGCACCAAGTAAAAGAAACACGATGCGAGATTGRGTCGGACTGCACTATATTGTCGAGTCACTATGTCGACGAACCGAAAAGCCTCTCCTATGCAGCTGCGTTGCTGGCTTTGAGACTGCAGACGGGAACAAAACCAAAATGGCAGATGGGGAGAAAGGGGCGGGGGAGCTGTGACGTCTGGGTTAAAATATTCAACAGGAAAGGTTTGCCGTGTGTGGCAGGTCGTTGTAACATATAATCACACACTTCCCTATTTTTAATCACATCCCTTGAAGTCCATAATGACATTCTTGGTCGTTACGACTGAAAAAATATGCAAACATTTCTTTTAAAAAATAGTTTAAAATCCACATCTTAACACATTTTTTAATTTATCTGGGTAAATATAAATCATTAAGAGACCTTGGCCTGAAGGCAGACTAAACATGCATGTTTTTGGACTGTGGGAGGAAACTAGATTACTTGGAAAAGAAAACACTAATTCATTGTGCTGCCATCATGCTGAGACTGTGTTTTGTGTTAATACAATCTCAACAAATTATTATGCAACCAGATTGTGAATATTTTTTAAATCTAAAATCATGTTTAATATTCAGGTTGTGAATCATTTGTGACTAGGGTTGGGAATCTTTTACTCTCTCACGATTTGATTCTGATTTTTGGGGCCACGATTCGATTCAAAATCAATTTTCATTCAAAGCTGATAATGTGAGCCCATTTGTCGTATTCCTAAAGTGCTTCATSTTCATTTTGCAAACCTCACACACCTTGCTTATGTCAAACTCAGACTCATTCAGTAAAAAAAACAAAAACAAAATGAGCCCAAATCTCAACATTAATGAAGACAGGGCCGGTTGAATCTCTCTTTCCTCCAGTTTTGTAGTTTCCTCTTTGATGTCAGCACATCCCATGTAGTTACAAAATGGAGGCCGACAGCCATTGGATTTGCTTTATTTTTGATTTATAAAAATCAATTTTGGGACATTTTAAATCGATTCTGAATCTTAGTAAATGAGAATCCCAATTCTGATGTGAAACGATTTTTTTGGTGCACCCCTATTTGTGAGCCATCTCATCAAACTGAGGATCAAGTCAAATCTGGTCAAAACAAACTAAGCACATTAATGGATTTGTGCTTTTTAAGCACTTAATTTTACCTGTGAGGGTGATCAGAAATTCTGGGTGAGACACAGCTTGATTTGCCTTGCTTATCAGGAAAACCTGGAAAATCACCCCGAATCCTATTTTAGCCCATTCTTATTAAGATTTATTGATGTCATTTGAAAGAGGAAACCTCAGGCCACATTTGGATATCAGGACTTCCCTGGAATTAAAAAAAGGCCCTCTAGTAGCAAACATATAATGTACCTTTTCTGCTCAAAGCTATTTGTGGTCAGAAAAGGGTTACAAAAAATATTTTGATGACTTTTTATTCAAGGGAACCACAGATAAGGTATTTTTTTATTTATAATTTGTCAAATGACATTTCTCATTGTTTATTTTCAACCAATGCATTATAGCAGCCTGTAGATATCACTGCAAATTAATCTTGCTCGAGGACACATTTACTCCCCCACCAATTTTATATATACTTAAAGCTCAAGTAGGAAATTCTCCACAGTCACTATTAAATATTCCATTGGAGAAATCTTGTATATACACGCATRTTCACAACTGCTCACAAACAGGTGYTCTGATCCGGGGGGTTCTGACTGGTCACTGAGTGTGTATATATGTCTATGTGTATATACTGACAATATTTATGAATGTAGGCATGTATGTATGTATATCTTTATATGTGTATGGGTATGTGTGTATATTTATATATGCCCTCCATGTATTTATCCATTTATTTTTCAGGTGAGCAGACAGATGTTGGGTGTGTGGTCCTGTGTTTTGTTGGTGTATATTTAATATACTTCTAATCGCTATTTCAATCTTTCTATCTTTCTAATTACTTCTCTCTCTGTTTTTCTCTCTGTCTCTATTAAAAAAAAAAAGAAATTTTATAGAAAAAAAAAGCTCAAGTAGGAAATAATGTGTATGACATTATTCAAAGACAGATGACCAATACACATAATCGTGAAGTTTGATGGATTTTCTACTAGAAAGAACATTTCAGATAACTGAAATATTAACTACATACATAAAAAATACAGTCTAGACAGGTGAAATACTAATTTAGACAAAGATGTACAAAAAAATTATAAAACTTTTGACTTGCGTTACGAATTATGCAAATGAGGTCCAATTATTATATGACAAACTCCCTTGCCGTAAACTGTTAGTGCGCTGCTCAGCTATGCTTTCATCTGATTGGCCCTAAGCTCTTCCACCCGCCCCTGCTTCCAGAACACGCATTCATGCTATGTACAATGCTGTACAATGAACTGCTGAGCATCTAACGGTGTAGGATACAGCTTACACTTATATATTCACACACACACATACATTTATATTATAACTGTATAATAGCTAACATGTCAAACAGGTCCATAAAAACGAATTTAGGGTATTTTCAAGACAAAGTTAAAAGGCTTAACATTCTAGTGCCGAACTGGAAAAAAAACAGCTTTGTTTCACCAACACTGCAWTGATATGTCACCCTGTTGAAGAACTAGCAGGCTGCTTACCGATCTTACTAGACTCCAAATTGCACATAAAAGAAACAAATAAAAACGAATATTAAATAATCCCACTTCAACAATGTACTGCCCTTAATCTGAGTTGGGCAATTATTAGTACGTCTTTTTGTGATGCAGCGGTGAATGAAACAGGTACTCAAGGTACGCTGGTTGAGAGCTGGAGGGATGCTGAGCGTCTGTCTGGGCACTGAGGTTGAGGGTAGGGGTGAGCATTCCTTACAGATGAGWATTGGGGGAGGGGGTGCCCAGCAAAAATGACAAAGGCCCAGGAAAAGACTGGGCCGCATCATCGTGGGTACACGTGTCGAGGGGATCCCCAAAATTTCATGGTTTTAACACAAAATGATGGGATAAAAACTATTTCCCACTATCCTAATGGACTTGAAACAATGATATGAGAATAACAGGCTGCCTAGACTGACACGTTATACTGACCACACTGAGTGGTTAACATCGATAAGTCGCGCTATCGTAACGTTATCCGTTCAAAACACATTAAATATCGCGTTCTGAGAGGCCATCTAGCTCGAATGTGTCTCTCAAAACGGAATGTATCTAATGCTGGCAACAACTACAGCTTTCCGGCTGCTATTTTGTAACACAGTATAAAAGATAACTGTTTCGTGCACATAAACGTGTAAATGCTAATTGAACAGTTACGTGACAGTACCTTGATAGCGTCGATTAGCCGAACCGCTAGCTGAAAAGGTTCAATTAGCTAACTGCAGTTGACATTAACATCTACCAGTAACGTAGATCAAAAAGACTGCGTAGTTATTAGCTTGTGCGCAGTTAGCTCGCAGGCTACCCACCACTCAACGACTTTTCCCMCTTCTCGTGCCGCTAAGTTAGCTGTCCGGCTAACATTAGCAAACTAGCTGGGGCTAACATTGTCAAGACGAGAGCTTACACAACACAAGTGTGCAGAACTTACCACATCCGATATTACTCGGCCTGGTTTGTAATATTAAAAATCTGTTTAAACGACAAATCAAGCAAACAAAGTGACAAGTCCACAGAGCCGCTGACGGCGCACAGAAAAGTGTGTCAGGCTGTGCTGGCGGGCTCTGTGAGTTTTTTTTTTTTTTTTCCACTGGACGTCTCCCTGCCCGGCTGTTCCCAAACGGTTCCCCCACACTCTTTCAGTAAGCAAAGCAAAGCAACATGTGCACGTTACGGGCGGAACCAAGTCCCAGGTCCATAGGGTACACCGAAAGATATCTACGGCATTTTTCTTATTCGTATCATTTTAAAATAATTTTTAACAATCACGCACAGTATCTAAAACGAAAACTTTATTTAAYTGTACACAGTTTTGACGTTTCTTCCCATGTAAACAGTTTGCTGCTAAAATATACTTCAAACTCCCAGCCATTAACAAGAATGGACTAATCTAAAGGGACGCAAAGCTTCATGGGAGTTGTAGTGTATCTGTGAACAATTACCCCCGGTGACATTCTGAACATTACGGAAGCGTATTGCTTATCACGCAGGAAAAAAAAAATCAAGAAAAAAGAAATTTATAATCTCAACACCCAGTTTAATGGATTTACTTTTATTGAAGTTCTTGCAAACAAAACACATTTTACACAGATGATGAATAAGATTGCTTAGTGTGGGATAAAAGCACAAAACGTGGAATAGTACATACATCAAAAAGCATAATGAAATGGAATAAAACTTTGTACATAATAAAAAGGAGCAAATAGAGATAACTCTTTAAATTAACATTACCTACGTATATACAATGGAAA